ACCTTTCATCAAAGTTGTCCTAAAACCTAACACCAAAATGCGTTTTTGTCTTAGGACAACTTTAATGAACATTTTTGATCCACTTCAAATGGTAACTACTGTAGTGCCTCCAAAAGTTCAAAGTATCTCATTCATTTTTTTGTTTGTTTGTTTTGTTTGTTTTTAGGGATGCACAATATTATTGGAATGCCATCAGAATCTGCCGATAAAGGCTTAAAATGTAAACATCGTCATCGGCCCGATAGGAAAAATGATACTGATATGCCTTGCTAATAAGAACAACTCACATGTGCTCAGGGTGTACTAGCGATAACATCACATCAGCAGTGTGCTCATTCTTGAAGCAAACTTTTGCCTGAAGGATGTTTGACAGTAAGGAGTTTTATTTATTTAGGAAGCACTGTAGGCCTACTTGTAATAAAATATTATGGATTGGAATTTCATGTGTACAGTTTATTAATCCGTGGACACGATTTGTTAACAGTTTAAGAATTTGTGAGTACGGTTTATAAACTGAGGGGACGAATTGCAAAACTGTCACCACTAATTGTTTTTTTAATAATTTGTTTATAATCTCTGCACAGGAGAGACTTGGTGTTGTTTCCAAACGAAAGGAAATATATCGGTATCGGTATCGGCCGAAATTAGTTGAAAAATATCGGCAAAATCAATATTGTGCATCCCTATTTTTTTTTTCTCTGATTTTTTTGCGCAAAGCTGACCTCATACGTCATCCACCCAGAACTGCTTCCGTTTACAACAGTGAGCGCAAGCTAGATTCAAGTGATTATTACGTTTTGAATATGGATATTTTTCTTACAAATCGCATCAATTCGCTACAGGAGGCCTTTGTTCACCCCCCGGAGCCGTGTGAGACACTTTTTTTTTTATGGAAAGGTGCTTTTTATTTCACGTCTTTTGGACAGAAGCACTGCAACACCCGCTGACTGCAATGATAGATCTTGAAAGATCAAAGACAATTGTTAATATAACTCCGACTGGATTCGTCTGAAAGAAGAAAGTCATATACACCTAGGATGCATCGGGGGTGAGTAAAATGCAGCCTAATTTTCATTTTGGGGTGAACTAACCCTTTAAGATTCTCACCTCGACTCACAAGCTCAACTTTGGCCATCATAATTCAACATTATGATTCGTTTCTGATGGCTTGCTGATTTTGGTTTCTGAATTTTATGGACTATGAGCGGTGAAAACTTTATTGGACCCAGGGATACGTCTAGGTTACTTGTGTAACCCTCGTTCCCTGAAGGAGGGAACGGAGACGTTACATCAGTCGTGATTGACGAATTGGGATATCGCTTCGATAGACCAATCACCTTCGAGTGTTAACTAAACAAGCCAATGACAGTTGGCGTGCGTGTTTCGCCACGCGCATCCCGCCCCGCAGCGCGGGTATAAAAGGAGAGCGCGTGCAAACGCACATCAGTTTTTCGCTGAGGAGCCGAGAGGCGAAACACGCACGCCAACTGTCATTGGCTTGTTTAGTTAACACTCGAAGGTGATTGGTCTATCAAAGCGATATCCCAATTCGTCAGTCACGACTGACGTAACGTCGAACGTGACTGACTGAAAGGGAAATATAATTACACACCTCTGGAGAGTTATTCTCCAGTAATCTGACAGTGACATATGACTGATACTGCACAGTAATATCTGTCTGTTGCCCTGAATGTCAGAGAGCTACTGTGGATGTTTCTGGAATAAACCCAAAGTCTGTGTAGATTATTTCAAGGCCACAAGGCCGCATAACTAAAAAAGATATTCTCAAACAACTCAAGTAAGAAGCAAACTGTTGCATTTCATATTTCTTTAGCCAAAACATTTGTTTTTAGAGTGTATGCACAATGCAGTTTGTGTCCTCAAAGGTACGAAGAATCATTAAAGGGATAGTTCACCCAAAAATGAAAATTCTGTCATTAATTACTCACCCTCGTGTCGTTCCAAACCCGTAAGACCTTCGTTCATCTTCGGAACACAAATTAAGATATTGTTGATTAAATCCGAGCGCTCTCTTGACCCTCCATAGACAGCAATGCAACTGCAATGTTTCCCAGACACAGAAACGTAGCAAGGACATCGGTAAAATAGTCCATGCGACATCAGGGGTTCAACCGTAATTTTACGAAGCTACAAGATTACTTTTTGTACACAAATAAAACAATTATAACATCATTTATTCAACAATTCTTCTCCCTGAGTTACCGTCTTCCGCCATTTTGGAAAGTAGAACGTAATCAGCGTTGTTTACGTTCAGGATAAAACACGCATATGCTGAACGCAAACAACGCCTCCCTTGCCTCCTATTTTTGCTACTAGCTAAGTCGACACTTCTCATTTTTGTGTAGTTTAACTTGATGTACTAAAACTACTACAACTAAATCAACTAAAACGTACACATAATAATCATAAAATTTGTTTCTTATTAGAAGTAACAAAGCTCTTTGTGATTATTGGATGGGAATCGCACTACAAATAATGTTTAGTGAGGGGGAAAATCGCGGATCTGGCAACCCTGTCTGGAACTATGGGTGATTCATAGAATCAAAGGGAACCTGCGTTAACTGCATGTTTTTTCTTCAGTTAGCCTGCAGTAATGTGTTATTATCGCATTAACTTCAACAGTGAGAGATTTTCTTCACACACATGTTGCGGTCTGACACATTTTACAATCAACCCTGGTTTTAAACAATCAGACAATGTCCGATAGTGCTGATAATTGCTTTAACTAGTCAATACTAATCAGTGCATCCCTATTTAATAGTATATCAATGATAGTAAAATAACACTGGTATGGAGGTTGTGAACTTGTTCTTAAGAGGGGTGGCGCTGTAGTCAGTTGTCATCTGCTCTCCATTTACGTCATTATTTGATGCAAGTATAGAGGGCCGCTGTTGTAGTTAGTACTTTATTACATTACAGAGCCGTTTCGTCATGTGCATTATGTTGTAATGGGGATGCGACCGATTGGTTTATTAGTTCAGGCCTGGGATCTAAGACTAACAAGACCATGCCTCCGTTTTCCTGAACTCTCTATCCATTACGCTCTGCCGTGACCCAGACGCATAAGCGAGGTGCTGCGCCTTATCGAATTCCCTTCCAATTAGTGTAGAAACGAAGCAGAGGGCTCCCTAATGGGCTTTGCCTCATGATATCGTTTAATTCGCGACAATAACAAACCTCTCGTTGTGATTTCAAGGCCAAATGAATCCTGACTGTTCAGCCGCTGAATGCGGGAGATTTGATTGTGCATTGTGTCTGCCACAAAAGTGCAAGCTTTCTCCTGTCTTTCTTCTTGAGTTACCTTTTCGGCGTGCTGCCTGCGGCACGTTATTTATTTATGATTTGTGTGGAAGCCAAAAGGCTGTCAGCCTGCCCTGTTATCGTTTGGTCATCCGCTCAAGTGGCTGGGTGGTTGGGTAGACGCGTAGCGTTCAGAAACTGGGGCAGTCTGATTAATGCCAGCCTTTGGAAGCGAGACGCACAGACATGACAACAAAGAGGCCTCTCTGGAAGGCAGGGAAAGTGAGATAACACGCAGCGATACGCAGATACGCGCACATGAGAAGGTAACGTGATGCCAGCCGCGGAAAGAAAAATCAAACATGCCACTGCATGTTTTGTTAAGTTTAGTCCGAAGCCAGTGAATAATTAGTCCCTAAGGGGAAATCAACACATCATTTGCATATTTCTGACACACTGGAGAAGTTGTCTGTCTGTCTGTCTGCACCACAAATGATGGGAAACTTTTTCTCCAACTGATTTTTGTTAAGCTTTTGATCTGCTACGCTCAGCCAGGTGTAAATCCGTGGAAGTAAGAGTTCCTTTGCAAACGTAGTTCAAATCCGAATCAACATGCTAAAACATCAAAAGCAGTTCCTCCTTTAACATTGCTGTTTCTACAAACTATACATTGAAGGGATAAATTACTCTTAAACAAGAATTCTGGCATTATTTACTCATTTACTGATTTATTTATTACAGGTGTGATAAATGCCTGTATAAAGAGACCATCATCATGTGAAAAAGAAGTACACTTTTTTAAAAAAGAGTACTTTTTGCAGAAAAAAAAAAGAACGTTCAAGTGTGAACTGAATATAATGTTTTCAGACACATATTTTCTTTTATATACATTTAAATGTATTTTAGTTTAAGTTTATACAGTGCGTGCATAATAATTAGGCACGTTGATATTCTGATCATATTTTTTTCCAAGCACATTTTACCAATTCCAAACCACATCAATCTTAATAACTACTATTATTTTTGTATTTAATCATTTATAAGTGATATATAATTGTCCATGAAGGCTGGAAGTGAAAAACTCCTTATATTTAGGTGTGCAGAATTATTAGGCACTTTTTCTTTTAAACTGAAAAAGAAAAAGTGCCTAATAATTTCACTAATACTATTTAATAACACACTTGTATTTGAATGTGTTAGTTTGCTAGCTACAACAGCTCTCAGACAATCATTTCATTCCTATACAATGGCCATAAAGATGTGCAAAGGTTATTTTTGATTTGGCAAGGTCAAAGCACGCGCTGCAATCAATACAGAAATCATTACCGCTCCACAGCACTACCAGAGACACATAAGCGACGTGTGGAGCGGCGCTGGCCTGTTTGAGACACACAACAGCCAATATAATACCTACATTCAGCCAGAATTCCCTAGTGTATCAACCCACGATCCCAAATTAAATCCCTGAGATCCCTAAAGTATCCTTTGGTTTTCCATTAGCCATCTCATGCACGCACCGTTGGGCCACTGATTTTAAGACGAACTTAAAGAAGATGATGGAAGCACCCCAGGCTGATGCACAAACTCAATTTAAATAGCAGTTAGCCATTGTTTTTATTTGTGAAACAAAAGGTTTTAAAACAAATGTCAACTTCTTGAGGCTAAAGCAACCGTTCCCATAACATGCTTGAACCAGAATGCACAAGAACATCATTATAAATATGCAAGTTTGGACTTACTTTGCTTGACTTTATTTTCAGCTCCTCCATATTGCTGCAAAAGAAAAGGGGAAATATTAAGATATAATCTATAAATATGAGAACAGCCCTATCTGACTCCAAAACAAAGCTAACTATTTCACTGGTTAGTAGTAAAGCCTACAGGTTTACATGTAGTACACCAGAAAATTCGAAGTTAAAATATACAGCACAGACCACTTTACATGTACATGTCTGATTATGTCAAATAATCAGACATGCACATCCCTTACGAAAAAGAAGTTTATTCAAGTGTGTTATTAGTATACTTCTTTTAAACTAAAAAATAGGAAAGTATACTTTCAGTCTACTTTTTATGTACTTCTCAGAAATATACTTAAAATGACATTTAAGTACACTTGACTTATACTTAGAAAAAGTCTCAATTTATTTGAGCTATAGCCTACTTGCTCTCCGAGAATGTTTTCATTGTTATACATTAGGGGGCGCTATTACACATCTTCTGTACAGAATTTCCAAAACACGGAAACAGCGAAGAAGAAACCGAAAAACAACAGATGCTTGCACACGTAATCTAACATGATCATCAGACATAAAACAGCATCAAAATTGTGTAACGTTGTGGAATAAAATGTTGACCCAAGAAGAGGTAATAATGATTGTCAAGCTTTTGGATCATCATTCTGAATCCAATTCATAGCCTTTTTTCAGCTTTTTGTTGTTTATATATTTATTTATTTATTTATTCTTTTTTTATTTATGAAACTTACCCACATTTACATGTTTATAAAAAAAGAATGCATGAAGCTAGAATAAAATGTTTTTGTTTACAAGCAGATACCCTGTTCTTTCTTTTGATGTTTTGTATGTTCAGATATTCATATAACAAAATATATACACATTCTTAAATAGGCACATAGTAGTATACTTAAAGTATGATATAAAGTTCACTTAAAGAACTTACGAGTATACTTGCAGTGTAAAACTACTAAACTATTAGTTTACTGAGACTATACTTCAAAGTGTACTAAAAATGCTACAAGTATCTAATTAGTAAACTATCAGTATACCTTTAAGTACAAACTAAAAACATAGAGGTAAACTAGTTGTGTACTCAAAGTTTACTACTGTTATACTTAAAGTATACTTAAAAGTATACTTTTATAAACTAACAAGAAAGTCCCAATGAGTACTGAAATAGTACACTTACAAGTATACTACTAGTGCACTGATATTTGTATACTTACTACATAAAGTATACTTGAATAAAATATACTTGAACTTTACTTAAGTATACTTAATAAAACATTACACGCATTACAGCAAGCAATAAACAAACATACCCAAGCATATCCAAACTGGCAAAAAAGCTCAGTATTGGAGCCTATGCAGGGTATTAAGTGTGAGCGCAGTGTCCTCCATGCTGACCATCTTGATCAGAGATCAGAGCCCTTGTCTCCTCCAGGCTCAGAGACCTGCATTCTCTGTCACATCACCATCACTCATGCATCTCTACAGATGCTGGCCACTTCAGTTTCCCTGAGGCTGATCTTCAGCTGTAGAGGAATGTAGATCCTCTTCTCCAGTTCGATCCTCATTAATGTCCCAGTGGAAGTAAGCCGGGACCATTACCATTTTAGAGGGATCTTTGCTCTCAGGGGCAGCTCTCTTTTTGCACCTGTATTTCTGATAACACTGTGGGAATTGCTTCATGCTCGTCTGATGTGCTTTCTGCAGATCGCATCAATAAAATCAAGCCGTTTGAAAGAGAAGCCACAGCAGTTCAGTTTGCACATTAAGCTGTGCATGGAGGACAAGATGTATAAAAAGGGTTGTGCCACATTTACTTGCAACTAGGGATGTGCGATATTTATTGTCTATGATACTAGCGTAACTGCTTTAACAATGTGCAAGCTGTCACTTAATTTGCAATAAAAAACAAAAACCGTATTGTTTTTGCAAGTCACAGAGATGCGTGATTTGTGTGATGTGCATGTCGAACCAGTTCACAAGACTACTGAATCAAAACAAAAGAGTGGGAACTCTTAAAAGGTTATTTAAAAGGTGCTTGTTCAGTCAGGAAACAGTTTGACTCGGACCGAAGACCGATGAGCCGCTGATATGAGCATGAGTGAACCCAGCACTTGAATGAAGGGGTGAAATGAACGGTTTATGGTTTCTCAATGTTTACAGTATTTTAAAAAATGTGAGCTGATGAAGACTAGTTTATTCACTTTATATGCTTTAGACATGTAAAACATCCATGTTTGGCATCATTATGGGGTGCTTTAATAAATGTCTATACTTTGTGTCAGTTATTTGAACCAGTTAATTGAAACAAACCGTCCAAAAGAACCAGTTCACAGAAAAGAATGGGATTTACCAATTTGCCTGTAGTTATGGATTACAGGTAATACATTTTTACAGATTAAATTTTTTTTTAAATAATGTTTAGTTTCTTGCACAGACTGATTGTTTCACTACTTAAGACCTCATTATATCTTCACGGTATTAATTTAGTGTTACCTGATATGCTTTTTTGCATTATACTTGCATTATATGACTCACCAAGGAGCATGGTTTCTGCTAAAAATCATCTTTACTGTTCTACTGAAGAAAGAAAGTCACCTACATCTTTTTATTTTTAACTATCCCTTTAAATTAAATAGTTAGCTGTCCTTTGAAAACTATACAGCAAACTGTTTAACTCTTTTTGTTTTACACCTCTGAGGAGAAAAAGATGGTTTCAACACTATTTCTCAGGTGTGTTCTCATGAGTTCACAGACAGAAAACCATGCTTAATGTTAAAATAATCAAATGTAATCATAGTAGCACAGACTATGATATTAACTTCTGCTGCTGTTTTTACAACATTTAGAAATTTGTCGGTTCCTGTTCAGCCAAAACCTATATTGTGTTAATAATCTGGCATACGGCTGTGTTTATTCAGTTTCCCTTGTGCAATAAGGAGTCCTGGCTCAATGTTGTGTTGCACTCGCTGCTTGATGTAAAACATGGGTTCTGACACAAAAGCAATTGAGAAGCCCTGCTGTAAACATCACTGCAACATACAAACATGTATACAAGGTTACAAACTTATGAAGTGGCTACAAGTATGGCCACTGGATGCAGGCACTATATATCCATTCATATTTAATACCTTAATAACCTTAATAAAAGTGGGGTTAGTTCGTGGGGTTAGTGTGCTAACACTAGAAGGCTGAGAGACTGACATGGCGCTGGATTCAGGCTAATGGCTTTTTACAGCAAACGCTCCACTGAACAAACAGCTGCACTTACAGATCTCTGTTTATTTTCATACTCTCAGTATGTTCTATACAGGCATGTTTTAAATAAGTCTTTCTCACAAAGCTTACTGTCTGTAAATGTAGAAGGTCATTTAGTGTAGTGATAGTGTAGCGCTCAAGCAGAGATCCCCAGCCACAAATTTTGATTTTGATCTTTTTTCTTTTTTTTTTTGGTAAAAGAAATACATAAATGAAGAAGAAAGCCAATCTTTGTTGCATTATACAGTATGCCAGTTTTGTTTTTGTTTTTTGTTTTTTCATCATTTTGGATTCTGGTTCTTAACAAACTTTTCTTTTGGCATCTTCATGTTCAAGGCCTTATATGGTTCAATTGCAGAGATATTAGGATCTCAACTTAGCTTCAAGAATAAATTGTTAAAGTTTATACATATTCAGTGGTCAAAAGCCAAATGTGGGTCACTTTGTATACAGCTGATACTTTTTTCTTTTAAAGAGGAATGTCTGAAGGACTAGATGGTTTGGTTCCAGAGATATGGGGATTTCAATGTGGCTCCATGTGCAAATTGTTCAATTTTACAAATTTTCAGTGGTCGAAAACTAAATGACCCTATTATATATAGATATTTTGATTTTTTTTATATAGATTTTTTTATTACATATTATTATTATTATTATTAGATATATTATATTATTATTACTACACTCTAAAAAATGCTGGGTTAAATACAACCCAGTGCTGGGTAAAATATGGACAAACCCAGCAATTGGGTTATTTTGACCCAGCGGTTGGGTTACTACCCAGAAGTTTGGGTTAAACATTTAACCCAACCGCTGGGTCAAAACAGCCCAATTGCTGGGTTTGTCCCTATTTTACCCAGCACAGGGTTGTATTTAACCCAGCATTTTTTAGAGTGTAGATATATTAAAATGTAACTTTGCATGATTAAATATACAAGCAAAAATTATTTAACCCAAAAATGCACCATAAAAAAAAATAAAAAAAACTTAATAAGAGCAATTCGTTCAACATGTCAACATTCCACATCTTCTGAAATCATATGATCGTGTTGTGTGAGGAAAAGAGTTATATTTCATTGCGGCTTTCAAATCTCATTCAAAAAGATAAACTGAAATTCAAACTGGCGTTTGACATTATTGACATCAAACCTGGCTCAACACATCTCGAGGCAGCAAATTTGGAGATTTGGAAACTGGTAAATTGTGTTTTGTCTTTTCTAGAGCCTGAAAATTTATGCTGTCATCGTGTGAAAAAGAGCAGCTCAGACACTGAAGACTGAAAATTATTATATGGGTTTTCAGCAACATGAGGGTAAGTAAATGATGACAAAATGAATCCTTACAGTTTAGCCTTGGGTAAAATAAAGCAATCCTCTGAAACGAGTTCAATACGGCACAAGAGTGATATCGCCAGAGTGACATTTCCCTGTGAGTATGATGCTCAGTGACACAAAAAAATCAGATGCTAGATAACGGATGTACTATCGATAAGCAATGAGAATACAATAGGTATTGTGAAAATAAATTAGGATTACAGTGTGCAATGAATCTGTGAGAGCAGGCAGGAAATATGAAACATGTTTGACCCTTTATGCCCTTAAAACTGCAACGCAGAAATCATAGGGCTCTCTGCGATTCAATGCATGCAGGAATCGCGGAATGGAATTTACTGCATAACGCGGAATGTCACGGAATTTGTCAAATTTTGAATTAATAAATCAAAGTAGGACAGTAGGACTAGTGTCTGAATATTAGACTGCTGAAAGATTTAAATATGAATCCTGCATGTTCTGCATATCTCCGTATGAACAAATGGTGCAGAACATATTGCTATTGTACAGTCTTGCTACTACTAATACTACTAATAAATTATAATGAAAACTTTATTTTTAAGGTATAATCACAAATTTTCTTCCATGTTTTAATTTTAACATTAAACCTCTGTTGTGCAGCACTTTGTTTAAAAAATAAAACTTAAACAAAAAAGAGTTTAAATAAAATTAATCTCTTTAATTTTAAGTTTTTTTAAAACTTAAAAATGAAAGAGTTACATTTCATTTATTTATTTATTTATTTATTTAAGATAAATTAAATTAATGTTTTATGTCTTTATTTGATTACCAGAAAAAAAATACATAAAAACTTTCAGAACAAAAACCAAAACATTTCATAGGGCTCTATTATTGTTTAAACTAATAACAACTGAATTCAGTTAATCACAGATGCTTTTGACTCTTAAAATTTAATTAAACCATTAAAATGGAAATGGATTTGGTAATATATACATATAGGTAGGTAGGAAGATAGATAGATAGATAGATAGATAGATAGATAGAGAACCAGATCCAAGATGGGCTTCACTCGCTCACAGTGTGCCAACACATCTATTTGCCCGAGACAGATGTCAATAGCAGGTAAACAGGCGGCAAAATTTTAACAAAATGTAAACATCTTCAAATGCATAGGGCTCTATGATTTCCACATTGTATCCAGTCATAAAAATTTACAGTATATGTAATGGCAAATTCTGGATAAATAAATGCAAAGTAGGGCTGTACACTTAATCAAATCTTGATATGGACTATTGACAATAAACCTCTGTTGTGTAGCACTTGTTTGCTAAACAAATAAAAGCAATTGTTACATTTTCATTTGATTACATTTTAAAAGATGAATTAAATTGTTAATGTTTTATATCATTAAATAAAAAATACAGAAAAAATAAAACAGACAGCACAGAATTTCTGAAAAAAAATTTAACATTTCTTAAGGCCCCATTATTGTATTAATTTTATGAAATTATTAAAACGTTGAAGTTTCATGAATTAAATTAACATTCTTTCTGATTATTAATTAAACCATTTACTTTAATAATTAAAACAGAATACATAAAAATTTAAAAGGAAAACAGAATTTGACAAAAATAAATCTTAAATTAAAATTCAAACCTAAAAATGTAATTATAATTGCTGTTAAATAAATTGTAGAAGTTTCATGATTTCAAATAATTAGACATGCTTTTTGATGAATAAAATTTAATTTAACCATTAACTCAGAGTCCAGAAAAATTTAAATAAATAAATAAAACGGAAAAATAAATGGAATTTGGAAAACAAAATAAAACTAAAAATTAAAAAAATTAGGGTCCTACCTTAAAACTCATGCTGCCATTATAGTACTTTCATTTGGCAAATGTGCATATGAGTCTGCAATGTGTCTGACTGATCTGCTTATCTCACCGAATCTCACAGGAACAACAAGATGTGATTAACTAAACAGTTCACCAATTTAAAAATAAACAAATAAATAAAACTAAATAGCTGAACTATAACACATATCGATCCTGAATTGCTGTGCTGGTGTTTAGCTATGGCTCTTGCCTTTGTCTTACAGCACTGAGAAGTCATTAGCGAGAAAAGTCCCAGCAGGCCTCACAATGAGCTTGACACCCAGTGTTCGGTGTGTGTGCTTGAAGACAATGATATACTCCTCAAGATCTCATCTGGGACAAACAGTTCCTACCACTACATCTACATTAGACAAGGCATTTGCAGACTGAAGAGGCTCATTAAGAGCTTTATTAGCCCTTCAAAGATGCTGACAACTGTTGTCTAGCATTAACTGTCCAGCATCATTTGATGAAATATCAGTGCTGTTAGTCCTGGAAGCATGTCTAGTTTTGGTTAGTGATTAATGGACTACTTTCACAACTACTCCCACATTCTACTGAATACGGTTCAGGCGTTTCCGGCCATTCAGACAGTTACAAGGAAGAACCATTCCTTTGTCCATTGATTAAAACAACGAATTGTGTTCTCTGCATTAACATAAATAATACTGAACCTGCTGACATGTTCCTATAAACATATTTTCCTTTCCAAATGTGCATTCTGGATAATAAATACAAATATTATCCCTACTAACCTGCAGCAGTCCAGTGTCTGTCTTCTCATTAAAAGTGTTTTTCACATACTGGTCATATTGCATACCTTTGAGTTTCCATTTATAAATGAATTTGACTGACAAACATGATTTTTAATGCACTTAAATATTAAAATTCGATGGATGTTTATTTGTAACATTTGTAATGTTTATTTTGTGTTTTTAACTTCTATATTTAATAATTTTCTGTTATATATTTTATATAATCCTACTGATCAAAATACCTGGGGAGGAGGGCTTGTTTATGTATGTATGTGTGTGTGTGTGTGTGTGTGTGTGTGTGTGTGTGTGTGTTTTAAGGCCATATCAGCAACAATGGCTATGTTCACGGCAACATTACAAATATTATTTCAATAAGTAATTTACAATAATATGGAGGAGGCTTGTCATACACTATCAAAACATTAAATGTTTATCAACATGTATACTGCAATTCAGCCAACAAACACAAGAGATATAATTTTTTGGCCATATCGCCCAACCCTAATTTAGGCCTATGTTCTGTACTAGACATATTTTTCATTTTATTTCCCACACTACTGTTTCAATTACAAGATATTTACATCAATGTTAATGCTTGGTTAAGTCTAAACCTACTCTGAAACTCAAACGTTTTAGCTCTGAGTCCCAGAACATGAACAACAAAAGAAAATGAAACGCACTACTACCTGAAGTCCCTCCTGAAGCTCCTTTACTGTAGCTCCAGATCCAGCACTGGCTCGGACTCCATAAGCCAGCCATAGGGAAGATCCGAGCAGGACGGACAAAGCCCAAACGCCCAAGAAGCCCATCAGCGTCAGCCTGTCAAGAGAAGAACGTGTACATGATGAAGTAAGCATGCGCTGAAAATCTCCTCACCCTCAGACCATCCAAAATGTAGATGAGTGTCACAAAAGTAGATGAGACCATCACAAAAGTATGTTATTTGCATGTGCTTTAAAGCCTTGCTGATGAAACATTTCATTCACGTTCTGTTCTTATGTGCGCTTTTTCTGAGTGTGTACACATGAAGCGAGCGCACACTGCACACTAAAACAGCGCCTGATTCGCGTCTTAATGATTATGTGTCTAATCCTGTCAAAAACACACAAGGTTTACATGGACTGTAAACATAGTTGGTTATGTCTAAAACTAAAGTAAACAGTTGCAAGAGAAACGGATATGTGCAGCTCTTAAAGCGACAGAACTAAACATGCTGCCGCTTGTCATTAAAGGAATAGTTCACCTAAAAATTAAATATCTGTCATTATTTGCTCATTCACATGTTGTTCCAAACCTGTATTAATTTCTTTCTTGTGCTGAGCACAAAAGAAGATATTTTGAAGAATATGGGTAACCAAATGGTCAGATTTTTTAATAGGCTAACAAAGATAAAATAATAACAAGGATTTTTATCTTCACCCACTTTGGCCTAAATGTATGCCATTCTTTTTTATTTTATATTTTGTTGAGGTATAGGAGGTGTTATGCTTCCGCACTCTTCCATTTTTAGCAAATGAAGAAACTTTGTCGAAAAGCAATTTTCGTGATGGTTTGTATTTTTTGTGCTCTGTATGGAACATCAGTGCCTGTTTAAGTGATGAACTCCATTACTTGTGTTAGTTTTCAGACATAATAACAGACGTTTTATATTTGTGCTACAACTGTTTGGCCTGTGCTACAAAACGTTCAACCTCTGTCGCACCAGTGCTATTTGCAAAAAAAGTTAACGTACAGCCCTGCTTCACATATTTTTTAGATATCCGTCTTTCGTTATTAGGAGAGTTTTGATGTTGTTATTGACATGTGCACTGATAAAACGATCATCTGTAACCATCAGATTCATCCGCACAACTCACATCATGACCAAAACAATGTTCCTCCACAAGTAACTTTTAGTTTTGTGGTTCAGCCGCTAGATGGCCAAAAGATAGACTAGACTTCTGTCAGACGAGCCTGTATGCATAATGGAAATACTGCTGGACATTTTTAACAGACAAAGATACAAACTTAAAACTGCGCTGTTATATATGCACTGAGGAAAACATGCTGCAAACGTATTAAAAAGCATATTTTAGAGCACCTGACATTGGCAGACCATTAAATTATATGAGTTATAAAGCATGGGTTATGTTCACAACTTGGATTGTGCACTTTTCTTGCAAAACCTTCAGTAGGCAAAAGGTCCATAAAACTGTTTTTAACAGTTGTGAGTTTATCTAGAAGTTGTGTAACCAAGAAATATTAGAAATACAGAAATATTAGAAATACAGAAAATATATTTAGAGTTGCTGTCTGCTCTGAAAATTTTGCTCTGAAAAAGTTAGTGCAATAATAATTACTAAATAATAGATATGTGTTACCAAGATTTAGTTTTGGCCTGTGATTCAAGTTCAAGCCATTGCTTTACTAATGCTGTATTAAGATGATTTATAGTCTAGTCAAGTAAAGTCACCTTTATTTTCATAGCGCTTATGCAATCCAGATTGTGTAAAAGCAGCTTCACAGTGATACACAAGAAATAGAAGAATTATGAAAAAAAAACAACTATAGAGAGATTCATATTCTGCTGTAAAGCAGTTCCAAAAGACTAAAAATAGTGTCATTATTCAGATCAATCGGTTCAGTGTTGGTTCAGTTCAGACAGAGCTGCAGTCGCAATCACGAGTTCTGCTTTTCTAGATTTATTAAGCTTAATCATCTGCAATATTTGCCTGCTGGATATTTATCCTGAAACAAGCTTTTTTCATTAATCGGTACATTTTCTGCCCAGTGTTTTCCTTTATCTTCCCAATCTGGCAACCATGTGCACACGCTCTCTCTACATTACAGAAAATGCAGATGAGCTGAAAACAACAGCAAACATGTAAGCTGGAATTTAGCGATCTCTATTGAGATATTCAGCTTAAATGAAAGTGCAATACAGAAAGTCTGTTTTCCTTTACTCGGTCGTTCGCACGGTGTGCTGCGAAAGTGAACCGTGCAAGTTGACATTCTCTTGATTTGTGCTTATGTGAAAGTGCAATAATTATGATGAAAGGTTGACAAAAAAATTAAATGAGTAATCATGATTAACAATTGTGATTGTATTTTTTGAGCAAAATAATGGTGACACACAATGACGCTGTATGAAATGTGCAGTATGGTCAAATGTCTTTCTGACAGCTAGTTGTGACGTGGTAAGCTCAGTCAACATAAGAAACGACTGTTGAAATTGTCTTAATTTAATCTAATCTAATCTAATTAATTAATCTAATCCACAAGCAATGGTCCTGCCCATCACATGCTCCACATTTAAGATGCACCTCGTGTTTTTTTTTTTTTTTTTATAATTTTGTTATATTCTTTTTTGGCAATATTAGTGATGGATACATAGGAAGTGATATGGAGAAGACAGGAGAAGAGCATCAGGAAAGTGCCTGAACGTGTGCACGGCCCACCAAGCTAACTGCATTCACAATATCTGATGAGATGCACAATATCTATAATACCCAGTTTGGTCACAGTTCAGGTCCAATTCTCATTATTAACTATGAATTTTGCCTCAATAAACTCCTAATTTGCTGCTTCTTAATAGTTAGTAAGGTAGTTGTTAGTTTAGGTATGGGGTGGATTAAGGGATCTAAAATATGCTCATGCAGAATAAGACATTAATATGTGCTTCATAATAAACAGCCAATATGCTGGTATTATGCATGCTAGTTAATAGTAAGAATTGAGCTCTTGTTTAAACTTGGTTACCAATCATTTGCATTCAAGTACTACCTTAGATGTGTGACGAAACATTGAATACTACAGCTGACAATCACTTTAAAGTTTCTCTTTCTCATCTTAAGAAGACGTGGTAGTCACACCACACACTGAAGCACTTTTCTGATTCATCAGCAAACACGTTCAAACTTCTGGCCGTTCTGTAGACATTTTACGTAGGTTTTCACGTAGTGTGTGTTTAAGTGTAAGTGTGTTTCATCACAAGAGCTTCGAGCTAAAATCTGAACAGTAAATATATTTAATCATTGTGAATAAATATAACATCCACCAAGAAATTCAATATTCTATGAACTGATGCATAAGCCGTTAGTTTTCTTTACATATGAATACTAATGAAATCACATCAGTTAATCTGTCGGTTCATTTTCGTTATCATTTGTTCATGCATGGATAACTAGTACCAGCTTACAATATTATACTCACATTTCAGCTAAAATTGGGTAATGACATAAAATAATTATATGTTATGCTAATTATATCTGGCTTTACATAAACAAACATCTCATGTAAACTGACAACAGCAGTGACAACAGATGATTTCACAAGCTAAAGCTGCTCGGTATGAATATTACCAACACAAATCGATGTCTATTACCAAACAAGAGAAATGTTTAAATGCTTTACTGATGTAAACTGGATGAAGAGGAAATTTGGAAATGATAATAGTCTTTTCACCTAGAGTCAATCACAAAGCTATAAGAAAGACTCGTTAGCTGTTACGGTTCATCTACAGGTTGAGTTTACAGAGGCTTTGCAGAAAAGGTAAGCACATATTGTGAACGAACAAAATGTAAAAAAAAAACAACAAAAAAAAATCCACAATATTTGTGTAAACAAGGCCATAGATCCAAACAAACATCTTCAAATATTGCAGCAGGAACGTGAATCGCCTTACAAAGGTTAAAAATAACTTGTGTGACATTTTCAAGAGCTTTGTTGGATTGCAGATTACACGTTGAACCGCAGCTGAGCAATTCTCAATACGGATTGAAACAAGTGATGAACTGGGACTGGGAATAACAATCAGGCACTCTGTATGACTGCATGAAGACATCACAATGGTGCTATATTCTGCTGCTTGATATTATTCACCTACATGCACTAGATCACATCTGATCTCCCGGTGAAGCATCATCATTGCGTTTGAATCAGACAGAAATATCACACCATCCCTGTGCCTCTATTATCATTTCATATGAGTGTGCAATCCACTCGGATGCTCTACAGCAGCGGGTCGCAGGTCTGTTCTGATGGGGTTTTTGACAGCAGGGAACACAATGCCAAACAATTGCTACAGTAGGCTTATCACAATAATTAAGGATGGGAATAAAATAAAATAAAAATGTTTGCATCCAACCAAGCTCTACAGTATATGTGACCCTGAACCACAAAACCAGTCGCTGGAGTATATTTGTAGCAATAGCCCTTAATAAATCTCAATTTCAAAAAATTGACCCTTATGACTGGTTTTGTGGTCCAGGGTCACATATTTGGGCAAGCAAACTACACAGATGCATACATGGACAGGTTGTGTGATGCCCTTATCCTCCAAAACCATTAACAAAAACTAACAAAGTAAAAGAAAATACAACCCAGGTCAAATTTTTGCTTTTGTTCATGTACGTACAAAATTTTCAGGTCATGTTCATGGTAATATCATATGTAATATGATATCATATCATACCATATTACTTTTGTACCATAGACCATTTTGGTTAGTTCGGTGTAAAGTCTGAGTCCTGATGTTGAAGTGAATGCCCCAACACAACACAGTTTCAGAAGCAATACATACTATGGGTAATAATAGCATTGCATTTAGTATAACAATAAAATAAATATTACAATAAAATCGTGAGACATTTCATTAGCTCTTATGCCAAATGTAAACTGTCTTTCTTCCGATACACACTTGCTATAAAAATGTTTTTCTCTTAAATTTACAGCAAAAACTGGCAGCTGTGCCGAAACATTACATTACAAAATACAAAATACAATGATGATTTTACACACATTTTAGTGCCTGAAATTATGTAACGTTAATATACCAACCTATCTGAGCTGTTAAAATCTCTAATAATAACAGATACACAATACAGCGGAAGGCAACACGATGACTTCAATTTCACCAAACGTGACCTCTCCAGTAACCCTCTGTGACTAATAATAACATAAAGACAGATGAAAGTGTCACCCACACAAACACAAAACACCATCATGCTAGCTCAAATAACGATGCATGCTATAAACATGTAATAAACTAACATAACACAGTGCAAATGTAATGGTTTGCATGCAGGGAATTCTGGGAACGACCAGAATTTCTCCATGAATTAGAAAGAGATTCATACCTTTTACTTACAACAACTCTTCAACAATATTCTACATTTATCAAATATGTTACCGTTTTTACTGTACACTTTTACGTTCTCCTCTGTTACAATAACGTTTTACAGTGTGCATCACCTTTTCAGTCATAAAGTTATGTGATTGCACATGTAGGCTATATGTAAAAAAAAAATAATAATTATTATATTGCTAGAAATATATGTAGGCTATATATAATAAACTATTATAATGTGTTGTGGCTATGAATAATGCGATAAAACAATAAGCTTACTCTGTAAGAATAAATTAAGGTAAATTCTGATTAAACGTGAGCTGTAATAAAGCTTGCTGGTCTAAGTGCAGGTCCGATCAAATGTCTGGTGTACCTCTGATGTTCTGAGCCTGAATCTAGCCGCTGTGTGAGAGTTTGAGTCAGATGCACTAATCACCTCGGCGTTACCGTAAACCCAGTGCTCGTGCAGCTGCCTAACCAGACCTCATGTTTGGGCGAACGATGCCCACAGCCGCCCAGAAGTGCTGTCTATAGGTAGACAGTGACACATAAACGCTGACTGCACAAACCAAGAGTCCAGTAAAAACTCCTGTTGAGGTACTCGATAGAAACAAACGGCGTAAAGCATGTGAATCCAGTGCAGACGCAGAGCGCGATGGAGACGGAAAGCCGCTGGCGCTCAGCGCGACGCAGCGCAGGATAAAGTGACTGTAGCTCGTTACCTGTCGTGTTCCTGCGCGGAGACAGAAATGCTGCGTGAGATGCGCGTTATAGGTGTCCAGAGACTCACAGACCCTCACAGTCCAGGCGAAGGGAAGAACACACCCGCTCTCACTCCATCCTTCAACTGAGAGTGACCCGCTATTCCAGCTCACCCTATTTCAACAGCTCTCTCTCTTACACACACACAAACACACACACATACACACACACACACACACTGCCTGCGACGTCACACAGCGCATATATATATATATATATATATATATAAAACACACACAGCTCTGGA